AGGTTAACATGCAGTCGATCCTTATCGTTGGTGGTAGGTTTTAGATCGATGGTGAGTTGTCCATAGGGTGTTTCAGCAACCTTTCCATACATAGCCATAGAGTGATCCATATGTTCGGGGAAAATTCTACGAGCGAAGAGTTTGATTTGCTGGTTATCTATGGGGGAATGAAACAGGGTGACATAATGCGCGTTCAAAGCAATGTCTCTCGATTCCTTACCTCTCGGAAACAGATTTTGTATCAAGAGAAAGATCAATACATTCTTGTGATGTGAGGTTTGAGTAAACAGCCGCGAAATACGCTTGTTGTGCTTTGCTTCGGCCAGGAAATCATCCAGGACCAACACGTTCTGTTGACGAGCATCAAAGTAATCCTCGTCCAAGATATCGTAGGGAATTCCTTTGACAAAGGTCAGCTGAGGCAGCTGCTCACCGAGGTCCTTATATAATGGCTGCCATTGAGTATAACACCAAACGATGCGGGTAGGTTGGGGTTGGATCAGGCCATGCCGGAGAACATGAGAGGTAAACACAGACTTTCCACAACCACTGGGTCCCACGACGAGCGCATTTGAGGGAATCAGGAACTTGAATTGTTCTCGAAGATCAGATATACATGGTAAATGAGGCAGCCACGAGTGGACTTGTGATGGCGGCGGCGGCGGCGGATGTGCTTGTAACGGCGGGTTGGCTTGACGCAGCGGCGGCGGTGGGTGGACTTGCGGCGGCGGCGGCGTTAGCGGGTGGGCTTGTAATGGCGGGTGGATTTGCGGCGGCGGCGGCGGCGGTAGCGGAAGCGGTAGCGGATGGGCTTGCGGCGGCAGCGTTAGCGGGTAGGCTTGTAATGGCGAGTGGACTTGCGGCGGCGGGTGGGCTTGTAACGGCGGCGGCGGTATGCTATGTTTATTTTTCCTGTGTCGTAACATGACATCTCTCCTTGAAAATATTTTTTCACAAAGCGGACAGGTGGCAACCCCCATGGTGATCCAATACGTGTGCGATTAGAGGGTATGAAGCTTTCTTTTATACCCTTGACTCTGTTGACGCTTCCAGGCAGCAAGTGCCCGTTCCACCACAGCATTCACCTCCGACACATGTTGTATTTTCACGGGTTGGGGTGTTGTCTTCGATCCCTGTTTGGTTGTCATCGTTTTCATTTTAGGTGTTACCTGTCTCTTCTTTGTCTTCAGCGTCGACTTTTTGGCTGCTTGTGGTTTCTTTCTCTGTTGTGATTTTCTCAACGTAGTCTTCCTAAATATATCTCTAGGGTCAAGTCTAATCTCTGGTGCTTTCTTTATGTTGTTCACGTCCAATCCGTTTGCTGGCGAGAGTAAAACTGTTTGTCGGGCTACACTACTGTAGAGTTTATACTGTCTTACACGTGCAGGGAATCTTGGAAGACACTCTTTTCTTCACAGCACACTTGTGAGTATGTTAAAAAAGCGATAATATTAGTATATAGTCTTCGTCATACTACACCCGTGAAGGTCCCGGGTTATAGAATCGACCTTCAGTAACCCATGCTTATCCGCGAATGACGGGGATCCATTGGTCAGTCTCGCTGACTCGGATGACACGTGCCATCGGTTCCTAGTTGCACAGATCGCTGCTCATGCTGTTGATCACTGGATTGTCTGGTCCAAGCTCGTTTATTGACAGACCACCGTCCTAGAGCTGGAATAATGCCGAGTGTGGCGTAAAACTAAATTCACTCCCTCACTGATACCAATACATAACCCTATAGACATGTGTGCGGGCGAGTTCATTCATCAGAAATCTGTCATTTACGATGTGTTTATAAATATGAACTGCTAACCACGCTCATAGTCATGTTGCGTGTCGTGGTTAGAACCGTAATTGATCTAATTGAAAGGTGTCATACATTCGTGTTCGGATATAGGTACAACATCTACACGCACATACTTCCCTACATCACTTAAATGTATTAAATACCGGATACGTTTAATAGACACCAACGAAAGAAAAGTTTAATGAGGGGAATACCCATATATATCCTCTCTGAAATAACTCCCTTTTAAAATAACAAATGTACAACACATCTTCCCTGACATATCATAAATACGGGACACTGGTCACACAATTTATGAATGGGAAGCTTCAGGCGAGGCTGGTATGTTGACATTAATTGTAAGGCCGGGGTATGTTGACATTGTTATGGGCGGTCGGTCGCTTAGTCTCTCTGCTATGCATTAGCTATGAATAAACCTGCTTCGACATATATTTCCAATAAAACATTTTCCTCGTCATCCTATCCGAACACGTGACTTGGATGAGCCAATCACCTTCGCATCCGCCTGGATCAACCGGTTCAACCAAAACTACCTTCTGCGGACCCGTTCTATACTACTTACGTTAATTCATCAGTATATATGTATTTTGCGCAAAAGGATATTGTAGGATCGACGCTGACATGTGCATATAACCTATTTCCAGTGCTGTAATATTTCATTCATTTGTCTTTTGATACATATCGATAGGAACATGGAGAGTCTGTCTGAAGAAATAGAGACATGCATGGGATCTTTTCAATAGTTGTACTTCACGGTTAGACTAACGCTTTGTCTCTGAAAATATATTATTTTGGTTAAAACGAGAAACTATATTTAAATTTAAAAGGTGACCAAGTGAGATGGAAATTTCAGCCTGAACCTGTTGAACATCTAGGCTTGTTTCATTTGGGGCTATAGCATTGCAGTAAGGCCTGGGCGGAAGGGAAAATAATATGGTTCAGGGACTGTGAGACAAACTACTTCACGGTCTGTATCGCCGTCGTGATCTTTAGAGCTACGAAATTAGAGCCATCTGAGACAGCGACTCGACACCTGTTTGCACTCATCAGGTACCAATCACTACTGTCACTACTTCTCTCTCCAAACGAAACACAACACGAAAAATGTCAGAAGTGTATATTTTTAATCCTTCTAATTTACTATTAAGATACATGATTTAACTTTAAAGTAATTTTATGTATCTCATGTTCAAAAATGTATTGTAAAATGCTGGTACCGTTTTGTCGCCATTGTTTAGCTTTTGTGGAGTTATTATGAATATAAAATACATGTCTTGAAATATGGACCTGTAAAAGAGTTCACCATTGAACAATATGCAGTCAAACCCATTTAATTGGCGTGTATGGATATATTATCCATTTACTTATACACACTTATTATGGACATATACAGAATTTCATTATACCTGATTATTAAAAAAAATACCAGTGAAGAACCGGGTTAGAATAGGCCTTCAACAACCCATGCTTGTACGAAGGCGACTAACGTTTTCAGGTGGTCAGACTCGCTGGCTCGCTAATTCAAGACGTACATGTATCAGGTTGAACTTTTACGACAGATATAACTTGGTAACCGCTCCCTAACTGTAACACTAACTGAACTTTACGTCTTTTATACACATTTGTGATGGGGCGACAATGCGACAACGAGACATATTTTGACATTGAAAATGTCGCGTTACGGCATTGGCGCCCTTTTGTAAAATAAAGAAAAAGATTATTCAAAGAGCGACAATGCGACAATGCGACAAAATGTCGCGTTGTCGAATTGTCGCGCTTTGGTTAGTTTTGACACGTTTTGCTTGTTTTTGTAAGGGCGCCCATGCGACAATACGACAACGCGACAATGTTCCTTCCAAGATTTCATAGTGACCCGTGCAAATAAAACTGAGTTATGAAATAGAGGTCTAACATGCCAAATAAAAGATAAAATGTAAAAATGCGCAACAGCAGCTTCTGATTTCATAGCTCTTCAAGAAGGATTATCAACAATGGGATGGGTGATGAGTTCATCTGCATGTCGAGTCTATACGCTGTGATTAACAATTATGCTCTGAGTCAATACATTTTGTCAAATGTATGACATGTATTACAAGTACCTGTAGGAACATATTGTTTATACTCGTCAATGTCTTTGACGGACAATATAATTTACATGCTCGGTGCCTTGACTTACTATTAGCTTTAATAGGCCATTCCGGTATAAAATAGTTCCCCCAAAAGCGAGGAACATCTGTTTTAGTTTGTTTACAAGAAATGTATACCAAAAATATCCTCATTAGATGAAAAGGCCTGTTAAGAACTACCTCAGTAAATCAATCACAATGACAGCGCGTCGTAATAAATTTACATCAAGTACAAGACGTCAAAATGGCCGAAACGATAAACGTGAGGAGATATATTTCCGAAGTTGTTAATGAACCGGTGGCGATTTCAAGCCTTTGTCACCACTCATCAATTGGCCCATCATTGAAAAGTGATTGTAAAGATGTGTCAAATAGATACTAAGGTAAATTCATAGATTGCTGTAGATTGTCACTACGATAGTTTGGATTTTTTTGGTGTTTTTTTCTCTAGGATGGGTTTTTTCCCACAACGTAAACTATCCATGGAATACACACACGTTTTCATCGATAGTCTTAGTGTGTCCGATTTCACTGGTAGCGCACAGTCGTTTTAAGAATCACTAATGGAGCTAATATTTCACGTGATGGAAATTTCAAATTATATCACATCAACATGTATATTAGCCCTATGGATTTTTTTCTTTTTTATTCTCTCTAAAAATCAACCCCTCCAGCATCTGAAAAAGAGTATATAGAACTAATTACCGATGACCGTTTCCACATAAAATATTTTGAAGACATTAATTAAGTTGAAAATGGTAAATTAGGCAGTATTTAACTTTTATTTTTTACCAATTAGAATACAATATTGATATATTTACTTTTGAAGATATACTTACAGGTATGTAATATCTTACTGGAGGAGTTTTTTTCAATTTCTCCACGAGCTGAAAATAAGAGTTTACAGAACTAAGTATCGTCGCATTTGACTGTTTTATTTTACATGAAAAGTGTCTGTATTATTTTACATACGAAGTAACTGTTTTATAGTACACGAAATGGTTTAGTTACATGAAATAAGTAAATAGTCAGAGGTAATTAACGTTAACTTTTTGACCCATTAGGATTCGCGATGATGATAGTAAAAAGGGCGTTCTGGACCGGAAGTCGGGGGAGCCGTCACGCTCCGTCGCAGTGGTAAAAAAAAATACCAGTTGAGGTATGATACAATCTTTTAGTATTTTATTTGAATTTACCTATCAGTTGAAATGTTAAGTCATCGAGTCATATCATATTCTATTAGCATATGAGTCGAATCATCACATCACACTATTATCAACTGTGTACTCTAAATATTGATAAAACAAACAAACGCACCAGATACAGTTCAAACATTTATTCAACAATCATATTTTAATAGCAGTACATTTTATATCCATTGATTACAGCACACTATATTCCAACACAATGCATTTTTTATATCATTTTCAATGCAATAAGACATATATAGCAGTATAATACATACTGAACAAACATAAATCATTGAGATTATATATTTGGGTATTTTCATGAGTCATGTAGCATCATATTCAAACAGAAGCTTTTACATCATAACATGGCTGTGTCAATTTATCTTAATACATCATACACACAAGGAACGAAATGGTTTCTAAGACTTGATTCTATAGTGTCCATGAGCTAATGTGTTTACCCCATCTTCCAAGACATACTTTTTGTCATCAAAGGGGGAAAGGCTAATTTTATTGATTTGAACAGTATAAAGCTGATGGTTACGACTTTGAATTTGGGTCATCTGGTGTCTAAATTGAGTATGCGTCATGAGACAATGTTTGTACAGTTAGAGGGCGTTTATCGGTACCTGGTGCAACCCGAACTCCGAAAAGCCGTGGAGAAGGGCTACGACATTGTTAAAATTTATGAAGTGTACCACTGGCCGGTAACCACTCGTTACTATCCCGAAACCAAGACCGGCGGATTGTTTGCCAAATATATCAACACCTTCCTGAAGATCAAACAAGAATCTTCGGGTTGGCCTGCATGTTGTACAAGCGAGTTGGACAAAAGTGAGTATGTGTCCAAGTATGAAGAGTAGGAGGGCGGAAAACTGGATCCATCTCAAATTGAGAAGTTCACAATTTGTGCGATAGGGCACCTTGGTTGAAGAAAAAGACTGAACTCTCCGACGTGAAACCTGCTATTCCTAAAAGCGCTATTTCTTGGAGTCCCGATGCCATTACCGATGCTAACATACTGTGGTGGGAAACTCAAAGTTTAACCCCCTTCGAACCCTGTTCCAGTATTTGTATATCGGGTCCTACAGGTAGCGGTAAGACGCAATGGGTGTATAGACTGTTGAAAAGTTTAAACGGTATGTACGTCAAAGATCCACCCAAGAAATTGTTATATTGTTACGGCGTCTACCAACCCCTATTCGACGAGATGGAAAGATAAGTACCCAATCTGAACTTACATTCGGGGTTACCCACGAAGGACGAAATAGAAGACTTTGCGGACGGACAACACGGGCTAATTATACTGGACAATTTAATGTTACAAGTGCTGGATTCCAAGGAGATGGAGCTGCTATTTACTCAAGGGTGTCACCACAAACGGCTCAGCGTGATTTTTATCATGCAGAACCTATACGGTCAAGCTAAAGCCGCTCGAACTATCGCTTGGTATCTCGTCTTACTCAAGAATGTCTGAGATACGTCTCAACTTATGACTTTGGGTCGACAACTGTTTCCCCCGGACGAGGTGGTGTGTCGGTGGAAGCTTACACAGACGCCAGGACGATAGCGTACGGTAATCTAGTGATCGACATGTCACCTAGGGCTGACGATAAACTGAGATTGAGAACTTGTATCTTCACGGGCGAAGATCCGATCGTATACGTGCCGATGGTATAAATAGAAGGGATAACGAACGATGCTCGTCATTATGTGGAAGACTATCCAAGCGAATGTTTCGTTTCTGAAGCTGCTACTACAAAGCGAATCTACGGCTCAGAAAAAAGCTTTGCTAAAGTCAATTACTTCAGAACAACTCAAGACTCTGACAGAGATTGTGTATATTTTACTTCATTCGGATATTTAACTGTCGAAAGACAATTTGAGTAAACTCAAACGACATAAAACAGTCCTACGCATGCTGGGAAATAAGACTACATTGGCTAAAAAGAAGAAAGACGTTTTGAAAAAAAGTTTCAACGTTGTCACCCTCGTACTCGGTATCGTAGCCCCAATACTAAAGAAATTATAGAACGATGCAGCTCAGTACGAAACATATACTTCTGCCTATGGAGAAGTACGAAAGATTGCGTCAGTGTGCAGAAAGACAGCCCATTCTACAACAATGACAACGACAAGACGAATGACAACCCATTCAACAACAACGACACCCACAAGACGAACGACCAACCCCTATTGACAACAGCCTCGTACAATACGGAGATGGTGACGACGATACAAGTCAACTGAGTATCGATTTGATTTTGAGCACTCTACCCAAACCCTACCGTCAGCGAGGATCGGCTCTATTAAAATTCATACAAAGGGATCCAGATCGCGAGCTCTCGTGGAATCGTAAAGGACAATTGCTTTACGAGAATGAGGTCGTTCCCGGGAGTCACATCGCCGACTTACTCAAAGACTCTCAATACCTGTACAAGCGACTTAAACCTAAAGGCCTGGAAGAGTTTTACAAGGCTTTGAAAAGGATGCACGTACCCCGAGGGCTCATCGGGAATCAACAACGATGGGAGGCTGACACTCACACGGCTACAAAACCACCCCCCCCCCCCCCCCCCCCCCCCGGTATTCCCGACAATAGTATTGAGAAGAAAAAGAAGAAGAAGAAAACGTTTAACTGGATCGCTTTGTAGATTGTATTTGTATAACTTATAGTGACACTTTTTAAATAACTCTCTCGTCGTTGACATTATTTCTTCTGTCATTTTATCTGTTTAAGAAATAAGACGTGAGACTTCTTGATCCTGGATATTTAATCGCTGTACGTCTTTAAAATTGGTATGATTTGAGGTTAAACAAATCCGAGTTCTCTCCCTTACACCATTGGTTTGTACGATAGTGTTGATGCAGGAAGAGGCGCTCGTATAATCACCATATAGCGATTACTTCCGATGTTTGTATTTTTAAATAGATTTTAGTCACTCTTTTTAAATAACTCTCTCGCTATTGTACATTATTCCTTCTGTCATTTTATGTGTGCGAAAAAGGCTCGATGTCAATATATTTGTATACAATCGTATATTATCTTATCGTATTTTTGTTATGCACGAGTATGAATAAACTAGCTCGTTAATACTATAGAGACAACAGGACAGGGTGCCATATCTCCCATCCGCTCTTCTCTGATGGGGAGCTTGTATTGGCTAGCCGATTAAAGTTTCATAGTCTATTTTATTGGGAAAACTATACAAAAACTCGCATGCAGAAATAGACATAAATAGGGTTACATATAGAGTCCCTTAAGGGGAATATTCTACCTCTGTAAAATGATACCTAAGTTTTAAATACAACGATGAAAGTGACGATAAGCAAATTTATACACAAAGTCATCATTAACCCTCGTATGCGACGTAAAAAGTTCCTGTACGCGCTTTACCGAATAACCTCTGGTTTTTAACATAACGTACAGTAAAGCATACCGTCCACATGTACCGCTGTCATTACTCTGCAGTTGTTTCGTATTATAAGTGTAACGTTTGACATTCCTCTCCAAGAAAGTCTGAAAGCCGTAGTACGAGGGTTTCTCTCCCAAACTAAAAAAATTCACCGCGTTGGGGGCTTTCTAACCACACGTCCACCCAATGTTAACCAGTCTGCGTTGAATCTTGATTATTGACGATAAATCCTCGCGGATAAGAGGTGATGCTATTGGGCATTTGGTCAGCAGTGATCACGTTAATGTTATGATATCTAGTCACCGGATCCGAGTTCAGGGCGCACAGTAGCTGCAGAGTGTTTATGGTGTCGCGTACAGAACGTTCCTAGCTTCGTCGATTTCCAGCAGGAGATTGTCTTCCGAGTACACTATACAGTTGACCGTCTCTGAAAGCGCCGTCTTGAACTAAGGTCAAAGCGCAAAGCAGCCCTTTTAATGAGATCCATGTAGTTTTCTTTCAAGTGTTCTGGTTCCAACGTGAACCCATGGAAAAATTGTATCTGGTTATATCTGATCCAAGGTGTTCTCGGCCTTCGAACAGTCTCTCGTAGGCGGTGACAATCTGTCCCGAACTGAGGCTCAGAGGCTGGGAGGGAAGAGACTCTCCGTTGACGTCGTACATGGCAAAGTTAAAGGGTTTTTTCGTATAATTTCCATTAGCGGCCTCTGCCGATACCAGACACACGACCACCTTGTTGGTGAAGGGATATTTAGCGGTGGTCTCTCCCAGCATCCTCGCATGCCTCGTGATGATGTTCATGCTGGGTCGCCCTTTGCAGACGGTCAGGTAAACGTCTTGGAGGACGACTTTGTAGTCAAGACCCGTTTGTCCCGACATGAGATTAAACTTCTGTCTCGTCGGGTAAAGTTTGAGCTGGAGAGAGACGCCGTTCAACAAGTACCTGTTGATATCCATGAAATCTTCGCACAAGGACCCCTGCATATCGACGGATTTACTCATTTTGGAATAGGTGTTTCTGTGGACCAACCCGGAATTAATACCCGCTATAGGATTCGTTTCATCTGAGTCTCCGTCGTCTTTATAATACAACTGCGCTTGAAGAGAGGACTGTTTGGTATCGTTGGAAGCGTTCAGGATCCTCTTGTGGTAACTTTTGTAGGGGTACAGATTGCTGGAACTCGTAACGAGTTTCCCGTTCAGCGTGAGATCCACTTGCGACCATAAACTGTGAAGCCATAAGTTGACCGGGGCTACTTGCTCATCCTCGACTAGCGATTTTCCATCAGACTTGGTTATTTTGGCTCTCACGTACAGTTTGGTGCGTTGAAGGTCGATGTAATCGATACCTTGATTTGATATATTAAATTCCACGGGGCTGGTATCCGTTGTAATCTGAGAGGTCGGTCTATAATTCACGTAATAAAATTTCTCTACGCCGGTAAACGTAGGCGGGGTAGAAAACAAATCGAGTTCGTCGGCTACCGCTTCCACGTACGGATTAGTCGTATAGGCTGCCATTACTTTTTGTTGGACAAATTATCGCACAATTTCCGTTTCTTCGTCGCAGGAGGTGCTTTACAAGATGTGCTCACTTTGCGATTCTTCGAACGACTGACAGATTTTCCGTTCGTCCGTCCTTTTATATGCTTTTTTTTCTGAAGCTCGTTCAAGGCTTTGGCCTGTTCGACGATTTGTTGGGTCGGTGCGACCAAGTTTACTTTCACCTCGTCGTTCGTTTTTTCCTCCTTCCACTTTTTATATTCAGGATCGTAAACTCCAAAGTTCTGTCCACTGACATCATCCCCTGTCTGACATCATCCCCTGTCTCCGCCCTCCTCTCATGATTGCCACGTAAGGGTCAAGCCTACCTTCCGCTGACAACTTGAAGTAGGGATACCCCTTCTTGGGGTCTGGTACGTAAAGTTTATATCCCATCGGTGCGGACATGATGACACCTCAAAAGTCTAGCGTAGAATGAAGATATCCGCGTATTTACGCTCTTTTTATAGCCGTTGTTAACTTCTTTTATCCGGACACCTTTTTTAAAACCAAAAGGGGAGCGGTTTTAAGTGTAGCGTTACCGTTACTGCCCCGTTCAGAAAGGTAGCTAATTCGCCCTCGCTGTCCCTTATATCCAGATCGATTGTCTGTAAATCTTGTACCCTCACGTCGATATATTGGTGGTGTAAAAAGTCGAAAGATCTCTTATCACCCGCGAGGCATACTGTTCTCAATAAGGGTTGCTGGCTTTCCCCCACGTAAGACGAATGGCATAGTGACGAATAGACGTATACATCGCGACAGTCCGTTCCTTTCTCCACTCGCCAACTCTTAAAAACTATACGAGATAATCCTATCACCCAGTGTCCGTCGAGACGAATGGCCTCGTTGAGATTGACTCTAAACTGATACGGTTTATTATACGTCGAACTACCGTCCGTGCTTCTCAACTTGATGTACTTATCCATGCTTCTTGATTTTAGGGTTAGGTTGTAGATATCCCAAAGAACTGCTCAGTAAGGCCGTCCACAAGTTGGAGTTTCCTTTATCCAAAGACAAGTTGACGAAACACGCAATCACTACGATGTAAATGATAATAATCTGCGAAAAAAACACCGTTTCAGTCTTGGGTACCTTCTTGCCCAACAATGACCAGCTTTCGTGAGACGGGACGCGTCTGAGAGGTTGTGCTTCGACGGTGTCTTCCATCCTTATGGCTGGATATTGGGTTTATTCATCCTTATATAGTTTTACTTCCGATTCGGGAATCCAAGAGTTGTACTTTTTCGGCCAATGTAACCACTTCACCAACACTTCTTTCTTCTATCGTCGCAGTCTCGTTTTTTTACACCTCTTGAATTTGATACTCTTGATCGAGATTTTCGGTCACTTTTTGAAGTTCGGCGGAGTAGAACGTTCCCTCGATAGGATCGCCACCCAATCGTTTATTTGGTACAAGTCATTGTATTGAGACCAATATCTGCTGATTACGGTAGAGATTTCCCCAGACCATTTTTCTTGGTATTCTCTGTCGAAAGCCTGTCTCAAAAGACTCACTCTCACTTTGTCGCCCACCTTGAAGGTAAACTATCGTTTCATATACTTGGACGGCTTTTTTAACTATTTCAACTTGATCAAATACTGACTTAGTGTGACTTCACTCTCATTGTCTTTATTAACAATCGCCGGCGTTTGTTCTAACATTCTGTGTTTAGTATGATTGTAACTACGGACTACTTTATCGAGAACGTCCACATATCTATAAGTAATATAAAGTTTTTCATCATGTATCGATACAACCGTATCTTGATCAATTTGATGACTCGTTCGGCATAAGGCGATTTTGTTTCTTTTAAAGTAAACAATTGATGTATATCTTTCGACCTGAGGTATTTTTTTACCTGATGGTTCTTATACTCCGACCCCGAATCCGACTGAAACAACCTCGGATGTCGAGACTCTGTCTTCCATAAGGAGGTCAATGCTTCGACCATGTCTTTCCCCGATTTCGATTGGATAGCGATTACCCACAAATACCTCGAGAACAAATCTATAACAACCATTAGGTATTTCACGCCGTCATTGTACTTGGCCAATGACGTCATATCCATGAGATCGGATTGCCAATGGCTTTCTAGTCCTTCCACCGCGTACTGATTACACGGGCACTTCCTTCTGACCTGATGTGTCATAGTATACATCTCTTGACCCCTCAACCATTTCTTGATACGGTACAATCCGATATTGAATTTACCTTCAGCCTTTACAGCTTCGTACAGTTTCATAGGACCGGCATAACTCCCCGGATGTTCGGGATCGTAATAGATAGTTTCGAGATACTCTTCCCATGGCGTCATACTGGCAACTGACTAACGAGTGCAAACATGCTACTATTTATACTACTTCAAAAAATGACGATACATATACATGTCTACATTTGATTCACATTCGAACAGTAAAATAATAAGTATACATTTCCCCAAAAGGTTCACAATAGTTCCGGTTAACAACCGAGATTGCTTATGGCAAACAAATCTTTCCCAGCGTCCTTTCTGACGACTCCTACCATGTTTAGGTAAGAACAGTCCGGTGACCACTTCTCGTGTTCTATCCAAGGATCGTCCGTGCTCGTCCATCCCTTCAGACGAATGTCGCACTTGAAGCACATACACGTGTCGCCTTTGTTCTGATAGACGAGTCCGGCGTGAGCCATGTCCTTAGCCGATTGTTTCATTTGAATAGGCCACTCTTTGAACGATGCCAAACGGTTTTCGAACGAAGACCAGTTATTCTTAGGAGGTACTGCGTTACAATTACCGTCTCGTCCAGAGGATAATATCCGCACACGTCCATGATACAACAAACACGTCTGCACGGTCCGATGTCTATGGGCTGAATCACTACCGTTCTTCACAACGCCTGCTATAGCGTAATGTGAGGGGGAAAACACTCTCTTCTATTCTTAGAAAGTGATGTCATTATCTTATTTTATAAACGTTAAAAACACTTGGTATTTTTAGATACAGGATGTACCCCCGGAATTGTCACGCCCCACTCAAAAGTTATAGTCGGAAATGTCTCTGACAGATTTTTACCAGTTCATGTAGTGGTTCGGATTACAGAACGTGCACCTGAGGGCCCCTACCTGATTTTGGTGATCCTCTTGCATGATACAAGGTACTGTCGTCTCGAGTTCTGGGACGTAGTCTACCATCACCCCAAAACACTCTTTCAGTTTCTCCCACTGGTCCAGCCTAAGAAAGATACCTTTCTTAGAGGGTTTCACAACCTTATCTTCACAACACCACCACCAATGCCGTATATCCACACCAGCAAACTTTGTGTCAACCTGTACATATGTATTAGCACCCAGATGATAGAAGATCTTCTTGTCTTTTCTCTGTTTCAACAAACTGATAGTCTCGTCCACATGACTGGCTCCAGTCTTCAACTCTAACCACTGCATCAAGTTGATTTTAATCCCTCGCTCAGTCGGAAAGGACCGTTCTTTGTCATTTTCGTATTTTCTGATGTGAATATGAAGTTCGTCGCCCTTCCACGTTTTGGCTGTGACAAACACGCCATTGCCGATATCTAAATGACATCTCGGAGTCGAATCAAAGCGTGTAGCCATGTTGAATGAACGTCTCGACTGGAAATAACGTGTAAAGCATAACTTCTCCTTATATAACGTCTTTACACCTAAAAATAGAAAACGGAAGTAATGACGTCATCGCTTCCGCCGGAATTTTCCGGCGAAGAAGCGTTTACACGCGAGGGGTAGCGTCCCGGAAGTGGATGACGTCATACCCATTGTTCACCATTCATGCATATATACAACATTTACATCATTTCAAGAATACAGTCACGTGAAAAACATCATGTGACCCACCTCTCGTCCTATGGAAAAGCCGTATATCGTGTAAACTTCTCATTACAAATTAGTTACTGTTATAACCAAATGAAACACAACCCATTATCCGATAGAGGTAACTGTGCATGGCGGAGGGATATGTTATCTCAATAAACTTGGTAAAATGGTTTGGTTTGACTTCTTGGCGCGTGTCTGAATTCCATTAACATGTTACATATCCTAGAACTGACTTATCAGCAAATCTCGCTGCACTGCGCGCGACAGATACTAGAGCAAGGCATGCCAGAAATACGAAGCCTAATGCTTCCGAAAGGAAGTCTTGGGCATCATGTGCGTCGGGGGACCAGCGCCATCTGATTGGCCGTTTCCAGTCGTACAAGGCGGAGCAAAAAGCATCGTTTTTCCGTCCATTTTACGCTTGAACGCTTTTCTGGACACTTTCTAGACACTAACCAATTAATCAATTTTAATGAATTTTGAGTCGTTTTTCCGTCCAATGACCATATACGGAAGAAAACGACATTTTCGTGTTTGCAGTGTAAAAGTCAACTTTTGCATGGAATGCATGCTTTTCTGTAGCAGTGGCTTTTTTGTGGCTTGATTCCATACATGTACTACGATATTGAAAACCAAACTTTACTTGTTTGAAAAATATACACTAAAATATTGGTGTCACAGGAACTTTTGTTGTTGAGTATAGTATAGATTCATATTCATCACACTGACAACATATTTATTCATTTCTATTCAAAAGTTCACCACTGATCAAACTTTAAGGTTAATATCAAGTGTATCTGGTAATGCTTTGACTTTGATACCAAATTTATATTTCCAATTATCTAACATTTAACTTAAACAGTTCAATTTCAAAATCCAAAGTTTATATTTTACTTGATATTCTTTTCAGTCAATACTTTTGATATTTGCACTGATACCTTTCTTACTTTACCTGTGTCAGACTCTATCCTCAGTACTTCTTTTTCCATGCTGTTCCTGCTATCTTTCCTTCGGTGTGAATGTATCTCTCTTCAGCAAACCACTAACACGTTTACCCTAAGTATTTTGTCTTGTCTTGTGTTGTTTCTTCATTTTATCATATACCATATCCCATCTGAGCTTCATCACTACATCAGTCATAGCAGATTGTTTGTTTGCATTATATGAATACCACCAGTGACTTATGCTGATGTCTTGATGTCCTCAGTATCTCCATCAATTGCATATTTATTATCTCAAGTAACAGTGTATCTGTGATGTGAGATATTTGTATAGTTTCCCCCAATATGTACATGTAAGTTACATATGTGACAGTGGAGTTCAGTCAGTATCTACTGTTACATTTACATACTCAGTTGTTGCTGCATCTTGACTTATTTCTTATAGTTGTCTGGTCTGTAGTTCTTACTGTTACTACTTGTATCTGGGATGACGCCACAGTTGATGTCAGGTTAGTTTCACCCGCAGCCCTTGCTTCCTGGAGGATTTCATTTCCATTGGCATCATCTGGCTAGTGTTTCATTTTACCTGACCCACGGACGTACATACATTCTATATACGTCTTTGCCTGACCTCAGTACATGCATTAGTCGTTCTTCAGGTGACCACATCCTGACTGTTGTGTCAGGCTACTTGCATTGCTATTGAACTTTGCTGCTTACCTGGGGTAGTGGTTAGTTCCCCTCAGTTGTAAGTCTACCCATATCACAACATCTTGTATCCTTACTTTTGTAGGAGCCCTGCACTTGGTTTCCTAATACTTATGAGTTTTTGCACTTTGTGATCCCCTTCCATATTGCCCTCGGTTCATAGTATTGTTGTTGGATCCTTGTTGCCTTTTAGGAGGTTTGTCATACTTGTTTATTATACACATCATCATTGTTCAATCGGTTAAGGGCAAAGGGTGATGTGAAGTACAGTAAGTAGTGCCTTGAAATATTGGGGTGTCGACGTGAAAATGCTCACTCTGACACCGCCATATTCAATGCCATGCGGAGAGCAGCCAAGGGTTCTGCTGCAGATCTTCTCAGTGGCTTCCCTGCTGAGGCTCAGGATATGGCTGAAATATTGCCGATGTGACTTTAAATATTAACTCACTTAACCCTGCTGAGGCAACCAATGATTCTGCATTAGAGCATTTGGACATTGTATTTGGCAATCTGATGCCTGGCGAGACGGTCACGGAGCGCTTTTACACAGCTCGCCAGGAAATATACGATTCTGCTTCAGCTTGGAGTTGTAGTTTTCTTGATTTGATATCAAAGATCGAAGTCTCAGGAATGCTCTCGACAAATGCTGCCATGACCTTGCTTCGAAGCCGTTTCTGGGTGGGGTTGTCCCAGGATGCTTTGAAGCAGGCAACTCGTCATCGCTTTGACTCTGGTCTCGAGTACAGCCAACTGCTGCTTGCTGTAAGAGAGTTAGATATCTATACCACACAATTATCAGATTATATTTATATAATTTGAATTATTACACAGATTGTTCAACTAGTTTTTGGGAAGGGGCCTCATTTCAAGCACCAGAAGTTGTGCAAGAGGTTCTCAGTTTGACTACAATATATGAATATTTCACGTGTATCAACATAACAATGCACTTTAGCAACTGCTAGATGTTTTGACCTACATTATGCGTATCTAGCCTAGATAATATTGTACTAACGATAAACAAAAACTCCAATACACAAATTCCAAGACTACTTTAATTATGGATTTCCTTTTCTTTCACAGAATTTTCACACACAAAGCTGAGTTTGATCATTTGATCCACACTTGTCCCATGTATATTTTGTTCGGGGAATTTGTATACACTTCGCGCACAAGTTTTAAAATACAATCTGGGATCCCTTTCCCGTTTTGTCCACACATTTCTTTTCTAAAAATGCAACAACAAAAAATCAACTCATCCCAAGGTCGTAACCCTGATCACGTGGGTATTTTGAAGGAATCTTGTGATGACGTGAATGAGGCTGTGTGTATTACATTGTTGAGATCAACTGACCAGGAAGATTGTCAAGGCATTGGCAATATGACAGATGCTCTTCATGGATGGAGAAAAAATTCCTCTGAGAAAAACATTGTTGCTTCGAGACCAAACATGTGTTGATGCCGAATTACTTTACAAGAGACGATGATCTGTGAAGTCAGCGACCTGAATAAGCTTGAAGAAAATAATGTTGAAATCCATGTTCACGCACATGACAGAATTAATGTGAACAATTATTTATCTGAACAGCATTTCGAAGTATGTGTGGCTGTCCGTATTTTTTATCCATTCCGACGTGAAATAATATAAAGTTTTCGTGTCTCATTTTTTCCTGCCGCTGTGGAAAACTGCGCACCGATCTAATAAAAGAAATACTTCCACATCTACCATTGCACCGTCATAAAAGAACCAGGTCAACTTTATCCTTCTTCAGTTGATTATTAAAAATTCGTTTCCGAAGCAAAGCGACTCGATCTACATCATATACGTGTATTAATTCATAGACTAGATTCTGAGTGTTTAAATTTCTTAAAATGTCATAAAATAACATGCACAAATATTGAAAGACATTTTTTAATGTCATTGATTAGTGTCCATTTTTTTCAAAATGGCGTCAAGTTTTCCCGCTGTTGACGGATCGTCTTGAGACATAATAGAACTTGAAACTTATGTTCAGTGTTATTGCCGTGCTGACAAGCGAGAGAGACGAGCTGCTACTTACTTACTTACTTACTTTGGAGATTTAACGTGCGCTTTCCGACTGATGCGTATTTCGCACACGGTGACGAGCTGCTTTCCACGCCCCTTATTTATACCCGTAACATACCCAGGCTAATTACCTCCCTTAGCCATTGCATACCGCTAAGGAGAAAGCAGTTTCTCTCTTATTCATAATGCACTCAACCGAGAGAAACATCATGGATGGCCTTTCGCAAATTTCCGAAGCCAAGCGAATCGATCTACATCATATACATGTATTAATTCATAGACTAGATTCTAAGTGTTTAAATTTCTTAAAATGTCATAAAATAACATGCACAAATATTGAAAGACATTTTTTAATAAGTCATTGATTAGTGTCCATTTTTTTCAAAATGGCGTCAAGTTTTCCCGCTGTTGACGGATCGTCTTGAGACATAATAGAACTTGAAACTTATGTTCAGTGTTATTGCCGTGCTGACAAGCGAGAGAGACGAGCTGCTACTTACTTACTTACTTACTTACTTTGGAGATTTAACGTGCGCTTTCCGACTGATGCGTATTTCGCACACGGTGACGAGCTGCTTTCCACGCCCCTTATTTATACCCGTAACATACCCAGGCTAATTACCTCCCTTAGCCATTGCATACCGCTAAGGAGAAAGCAGTTTCTCTCTTATTCATAATGCACTCAACCGAGAGAAACATCATGGATGGCCTTTCGCAAATTTCCGAAGCCAAGCGAATCGATCTACATCATATACATGTATTAATTCATAGACTAGATTCTAAGTGTTTAAACTTTATTTTTAAAATGTCATAAAATAACGTGCACAAATATTGAAAGAAATTTTTTAATGAGTAATTTATTTCATTTCGTCCGCCCGCCCTCTGGTTAGTTAAGGCTTGAGGGGAGAAATACATAAAACATATATGGATGGCCTTATGCAAATTGCATGCCAATCAACAGGGAATCTGGGTCATTGTGACCCTCCAAGCTTCACGGATAGGGGGCGGTCGGGTGGCCTAGTGGTTAGAGCGTTCGCTCATCACGCCGAAGACCCGGGTTCGATTCCCGACATGGGTACAATGTGTGAATCCCATTTCTGGTGTCCCCCGCCGTGATATCGCTGGAATATTGCTAAAAGCGGCGTAAAACATACTCACTCACTCACTCACTTCACGGATGGAGTGACTTCGGCACGAGGAGCTTTCGGACAATTGCGACTTTGCCAAAACACATTGCTACTGGGCAATGAAAACATGTGGGTGGGTGTTTTCATGACGTCACCCGTTTACGCATTAACCAATTAAATTTGTGTGTTAGCATGACGTCATATTGACCTGTCAGATCACTCGCAAAAGCTCCTACCGCAGATGCCCCTTGAACGACATTTTTACTCTTTCAGGTTGTAGGCAAAGCCCCAACATGAACAACAGGCACCCAACCCAAAAGGCTTCGGATCGAGCAACCGTAAGCACAATCTTTGACTGCACATTGATCCTAGGAACCCGAAACATAATGTTACGCGGGACTACACAATGAAAGAAGGGTACACTGGCTGTATGTAGGTATCTGTTAAACCAGATAGGACAATGTACACCAGGGCTGGATACCTTTTACACTATTTTACAAGACAACACGGCATACAGTACATTCTAAACTAGGCGCCCAACACACGATCTAATTACGCTATACATCAGATGCGGCTTAATACACCTGTTACCTGATACAAAAGTTTACAAGGGGATACACCAGGAACATATGGTACACGTGACACCTGATACACAATCTTACAAGGGCAAGCACAAGGAATATATGGTACACGTGTTACCTGGTACACAATCTTACAAGGGGATACACCAGGAAGATATGGTACACGTGATACCTGATACACAATCTTACAAGGGGATACACCAGGAAGATATGGTACACGAGATACCTGATACACAACCTTACAAGGCGATACACAAGGAAGATATGGTTCACGTGATACCTTATTCACAATATTACAAGGGCATACACCAGGAAGATATGGTACACGTAATACCTGATACACAATCTTACAAGGGGATGGACCAAGGGGATACACCAGGAAGATATGGTACACGTGATTCCTGATTCACAATCTTACAAGGGCATACACCAGGAAGATATGGTACACGTGATACCTGATACACAATCTTACGAAGGGATGCACCAAGGGGATACACCAGGAAGATATGGTACACGTGTTACCTGGTACACAATCTTACAAGGGCATACACCAGGAAGATATGGTACACTTGATACCTGATACACAATCTTACAAGGGGATACACCAGGAAGATATGGTACACGAGATACCTGATACACAACCTTACAAGGCGATACACCAGGAAGATATGGTACACGTGATACCTTATTCACAATATTACAAGGGCATACACCAGGATGATATGGTACACGTAATACCTGATACACAATCTTACAAGGGGATGGACCAAGGGGATACACCAGGAAGATATGGTACACGTGATTCCTGATTCACAATCTTACAAGGGCATACACCAGGAAGATATGGTACACGTGATACCTGATACACAATCTTACGAAGGGATGCACCAAGGGGATACACCAGGAAGATATGGTACACGTGTTACCTGGTACACAATCTTACAAGGGCATACACCAGGAAGATATGGTACACCTGATACCTGATACACAATCTTACAAGGGCATACACCAGGAAGATATGGTACACGTGATACCTGATACACAATCTTACGAAGGGATGCACCAAGGGGATACACCAGGAAGATATGGTACACGTGTTACCTGATACACAATCTTACAAGGGCATACACCAGGAAGATATGGTACACTTGATACCTGATACACAATCTTACAAGGGGATACACCAGGAAGATATGGTACACGAGATACCTGATACACAACCTAACAAGGCGATACACAAGGAAGATATGGTACACGTGATACCTTATTCACAATATTACAAGGGCATACACCAGGATGATATGGTACACGTAATACCTGATACACAATCTTACAAGGGGATGGACCAAGGGGATACACCAGGAAGATATGGTACACGTGATTCCTGATTCACAATCTTACAAGGGCATACACCAGGAAGATATGGTACACGTGATACCTGATACACAATCTTACGAAGGGATGCACCAAGGGGAAACACCAGGAAGATATGGTACACGTGTTACCTGGTACACAATCTTACAAGGGCATACACCAGGAAGATATGGTACACCTGATACCTGATACACAATCTTACGAAGGGATGCACCAAGGGGAAACACCAGGAAGATATGGTACACGTGTTACCTGGTACACAATCTTACAAGGGCATACACCAGGAAGATATGGTACACCTGATACCTGATACACAATCTTACAAGGGCATACACCAGGAAGATATGGTACACCTGATACCTGATACACAATCTTACGAAGGGATGCACCAAGGGGAAACACCAGGAAGATATGGTACACGTGTTACCTGGTACACAATCTTACAAGGGCATACACCAGGAAGATATGGTACACCTGATACCTGATACACAATCTTACAAGGGCATACACCAGGAAGATATGGTACACCTGATACCTGATACACAATCTTACAAGGGCATACACCAGGAAGATATGATACACGTGATACCTGGTACACAATCTTACAAGGGGATACACAAGGAAGATATGGTACACCTGATACCTGAAACACAATCTTACAAGGGCATGCACAAGGAACATATGGTACACGTGATACCTGATACACAATCTTACAAGGGGATACACCAGGAAGATATGGTACACCTGATACCTGATTCACAATCTTACAAGGGGATACACCAAGAAGATATGGTACACCTGATACCTGATACACGATCTTACAAGGGCATACACCAGGAAGATATGGTACACGTGATACCTTATTCACAATCTTACAAGGGCATACACCAGGAAGATATGGTACACGTGATACCTGATTCACAATCTTACAAGGGGATGCACCAAGGGCATACACCAGGAAGATATGGTACACGTGATACCTGATACACAATCTTACAAGGGCATTCACCAGGAAGATATGGTACACGTGATACCTGATTGACAATCTTACAAGGGGATGCACCAAGGGGATACACCAGGAAGATATGGTACACGTGATACCTGATTCACAATCTTACATGGGGATGCACTAAGGGCATACACCAGGAAGATATGGTATACGTCATACCTGATACACAATCCTACAAGGGCATACATCAGGAAGATATGGAACACGTGATACCTGATACAGAATCTTACAAGGGGATGCACCAAGGGGATACACCAGGAAGATATGGTACACCTGATACCTGATACACAATCTCACAAGGGGATGGACCAAGGGGATACACCAGGAAGATATGGTACACCTGATACCTGATTCACAATCTTACAAGGGGATGCACCAGGAAGATATGGTACACGTGATACCTCATACACGATCTTACAAGGGCATACACCAGGAAGATATGGTACAGTTGATACCTGATTCACAATCTTACAAGGGCATACACCAGGAAGATATGGTACACGTGATACCTGATTCACAATCTTACAAGGGGATGCACCAAGGGATACACCAGGAAGATATGGTACACGTGATACCTGATACACAATCTTACAAGGGCATTCACCAGGAAGATATGGTACACGTGATACCTGATTCACAATCTTACAAGGGGATGCACCAAGGGGATACACCAGGAAGATATGGTAAACGTGATACCTGATACACAATCTTAAAAAAGGGATGCACCAAGGGGATACACTAGGAAGATATGGTACACGTGATACCTGATTCACAATCTTACATGGGGATGCACTAAGGGCATACACCAGGAAGATATGGTATACGTCATACCTGATACACAATCCTACAAGGGCATACATCAGGAAGATATGGAACACGTGATACCTGATACAGAATCTTACAAGGGGATGCACCACGGGGGTACACCAGGAAGATATGGTACACCTGATACCTGATACACAATCTCACAAGGGGATGGACCAAGGGGATACACCAGGAAGATATGGTACACCTGATACCTGATTCACAATCTTACAAGGGGATGCACCAAGAAGATATGGTACACGTGATACCTCATACACGATCTTACAAGGGCATACACCAGGAAGATATGGTACACGTGATACCTGATACACAATCTTACAAGGGGATACACCGGGAAGATATGGTACACGTGATACCTGATTCACAATCTTACAAGGGGATGCACCAAGGGGATACGCCAGGAAGATATGGTTCACGTGATACCTGATACACAATCTTACAAGGGGATACACAAGGAAGATATGGTACACGTGATACCTGATACACAATCTTACAAGGGGATATACCAGGAAGATATGGTACACGTGATACCTGATACATAATCTTACAAGGGCATACACCAGGAAGATATGGTACACGTCATTCCTGATTCACAATCTTACAAGTGGATGCACCAAGGGGATACACCAGGAAGATATGGTACACCTTATACCTGATTCACAATCTTACAAGGGGATGCACCAAAGGGATACACCAGGAAGATAAAGTACACGTGATACCTGATACACAATCTTACAAGGGGATGCAACAGGAAGATATGGTACACGTGATACCTGATACACAATCTTACAAGGGCATTCACCAGGAAGATATGGTACACGTGATACCTGATTCACAATCTTACAAGGGGATCCACCAAGGGCATACACCAGGAAGATACGGTACACGTGATACCTGATACACAATCTTAAAAAAGGGATGCACCAAGGGGATACACTAGGAAGATATGGTACACGTGATACCTGATTCACAATCTTACAAGGGGATGCACTAAGGGCATACACCAGGAAGATATGGTACACCTGATACCTGATTCACAATCTTACAAGGGCATACACCAGGAAGATATGGTACACGTGATACCTGATACACAATCTTACAAGGGGATCCACAAGGGGATACACCAGGAAGATATGGTACACGTGATACTTGATTCACAATCTTACAAGGGCATACACCAGGAAGATATGGTACACGTGATACCTGATTTATAATACTACAAGGGGATACACCAGGAAGATATAGTACACGTGATCCTGATTCACAATCTTACAAGGGGATTCACCAGGAAGATATAGTACACGTGATACCTGATTCACAATCCTACAAGGGCATACACCAGGAAGATATGGTACACGTGATACCTGATACACAATCTTACAAGGGGATGCACCAAGGGGATACACCAGGAAGATATGGTACACCTGATACCTGATTCACAATCTTACAAGGGCATACACAAGGAAGATATGGTACACCTGATACCTGATACACAATCTTACAAGGGGATGCACCAAGGAGATACACCAGGAAGATATGGTACACTTGATACCTGATTCACAATCTTACAAGGGCATAAACCAGGAAGATATGGTACACCTGATACCTGATTCACAATCTTACAAGGGGATGCACCAGGAAGATATGGTACACGTGATACCTCATACACAATCTTACAAGAGGATACACCAAGAAGATATGGTACACCTGATACCTGATTCACAATCTTACAAGGGGATACACCAGGAAGATATGGTACACGTGATACCTGATTCACAATCTTACAAGGGGATGCACCAAGGGGATACACCAGGAAGATATGGTACACGTGATACCTGATACACAATCTTACAAGGGGATACACCAGGAAGATATGGTACACGTGATACCTGATTCACAATCTTACAAGTGGATGCACCAAGGGGATACACCAGGAAGATATGGTACACTTGATACCTGATACACAATCTTACAAGGGCATACACAAGGAAGATATGGTTGACCTGATACCTGATACACAATCTTACAAGGGGATACACCAGGAAGATATGGTATACGTGATACCTGATTCACAATATTACAAGGGGATACACCAAGAAGATATAGTACACGTGATACCTGATTCACAATCTTACAAGGGGATGCACCAAGGGGATACAACAGGAAGATATGGTACACGTGATTCTTGATTCACAATCTTACAAGGGGATGCACCCAGGTAAGATGAAATGGGGTTTAACGTCGCGTCCAAGATTATTACACTTACATAGCAACGTGCATGCACGTCTGTGTGTTTGTGTGGCTGCTTGTACTAGTCCGGACTGATGCCGATTTATAGTGCTAGTTCACTGAGATACCATGCCGCAGTTTAACATGAATACCCCACTCAGACACAGTATACTGACTCCGAGCCGACCAGTCCTTGTTTTAGCCCCTTAATGCCGAGCGCCAGACAGGGTAACAACAAGTACCATCTTTTAACGTCTTTTGGTATGACGCGGCCGGGGATCGAACCCCGGACCTTCCGCTCTCCGGGCGGACGCTCTACCACAAGACCACGGAGGCGGCGATGCACCAAGGGGATACACCAGGAAGATATGGTACACGTCATTCCTGATTCACAATCTTACAAGGGGATACACCAGGAAGATATGGTACACGTGATACCTGATTCACAATCTTACAAGGGGATGCACTATGGGGATACAACAGGAAGATATGGTACACGTGATTCCTGATTCACAATCTTACAAGGGGATGCACCAAGGGGATACACCAGGAAGATATGGTACACGTCATTCCTGATTCACAATCTTACAAGGGGATACACCAGGAAGATATGGTACACGTGATTCCTGATTCAAAATCTTACAAGGGCATACACCATGAAGATATGGTACACGTGATACCTGATACACAATCTTACAAGGGGATGCATCAAGGGGATACACCAAGAAGATATAGTACACGTGTTACCTGGTACACAATCTTACAAGGGCATACACCAGGAAGATATGGTACACTTGATACCTGATACACAATCTTACAAGGGCATACACAAGGAAGATATGGTTGACCTGATACCTGATACACAATCTTACAAGGGGATGGACCAGGAAGATATGGTACACGTGATACCTTATTCAGAATCTTACAAGGGGATGCACCAAGGGATACACCAGGAAGATATGGTACCAGTGATTCCTGATTCACAATCTTACAAGGGCATACACCAGGAAGATATGGTACACGTGATACCTGATACACAGTCTTACAACTGGATGGACCAGGAAGATATGGTACACGTGATACCTTATTCACAATCTTACAAGGGGATGCACCAAGGGGATACACCAGGAAGATATGGTACACGTGATACCTGATTCACAATCTAACAAGGGCATACACCAGGAAGATATGGTACACCTGATACCTGATACACAGTCTTACAAGGGGATGGACCAGGAAGATATGGTACACGTGATACCTTATTCATAATCTTACAAGGGGATACACCAGGAAGATATGGTACACGTGATACCTGATACACAATCTTACAAGGGCATACACCAGGAAGATATGGTACACCTGATACCTGATTCACAGTCTTACAAGAGGATGGACCAGGAAGATATGGTACACGTGATACCTTATTCATAATCTTACAAGGGGATGCACCAAGGGGATACACCAGGAAGATATGGTACACGTGATACCTGATTCACAATCTTACAAGGACATACACCAGGAAGATATGGTACACCTGATACCTGATACACAATCTTACAAGGGCATACACCAGGAAGATATGGTACACCTGATACCTGATACACAATCTTACAAGGGGATGGACCAAGGGGATACACCAGGAAGATATGGGGGCGCATATCCTACACCACGAGATCTGACTTGGTTGTGGTTCAGGGAAAATTGACAGTCGCTACATGAATCAAATTCTCTAACCTCCCCATCTTCCAATCATTTTTCGCCAGAAGGAGCTGTTTCAACAGGACAACGCTCCACCACACGAAGCTCGTGTCACGGTAGACTACCTTCATAATGCCAACATCAACGTATTGCCCTGGCCGTAGAGATGTCCAGATCTCAACCCAATTGAACACCTATAGGGTGAACTTGATCGACGTGTACGTTAACATCAGAACACACCGCAGACACTCCCACAACTGGCCAACGCGTTACATTCATGCACTTATCCACTCATTGCCGAGGAGATACAGAGCCGTGATTGCTGCCCGGGGCGGTCACACAAGATACTGAGTTCAGCTCAACCTTGTGGCCTTATTAGACATGACAATGAACAGTTGTCAATGCCTTTATACAGCAACAACATGCGACTATCGAGCTCCAAAATTCCATATTTGTATCTATGATATTAAATTAAATATATCGACTTTATTAGGTACAATAAATTTACCAAAGATCTACCTGTGCTTTTCTTTTTTTAAAGAGTGTATATGATACAGTTATTGTTCGGAAGGGGCCTGACCCACAATCTTACAAGATGATACACCATACAGGGCATTGTATCTTCATTACAGTCTTGAAATGTTATACATCAAAATAAACCCCACAAGTATATGTGTGTACACCAACAATCTCTCTGTATGTCTGTATATCAACATTCTCTTTGTATATGTGTGTATATGAACCATCTCTCTGTACATGTGTGTATATGAACCATTTCTCTATGTGTGTCTGTACACCAACCGTCCCTCTGCATGTGTCTGCATACAGACTATCTCTCTACATGTGTCTGTATACTAACCATCTCTTTGTATATCTTGTGCTTGCTTGCTTTCCTTGCAGTCATGTCTGTTTGGTCACATATACACATAGGTCTCATTTTATTCAGTTTCAGACTCTGACGTCACAACAGAAATTAAAGCAATGCCTGGCTTTGCTAATTGCCACAGTACTTTGTGGAACGGTAATGCTGTCCTTTTTTAAGCCGACTGTAGTATGGGCGGTGTTTCAGAGAGACAACGAATCCCACAACGAAGGAGGAACCATTAATAAAAATGTGACAGTATCGACAATTGGCTACAAAATGACTTTTAATAGTTCAAATCGTACTTATCCTTATTTCTACAAACCAATCTCATTTCATTCTTCGGAAAAGTACAGACAGAAGACGTCTTACAGCGTGAATTTCAACCATGGATACCATCCGGTAACAGGCACCAAGTCGAAGCTCATCCTGTTTTATAATCCTCCCGGATGGTTCAAACCGTTTCAGAAATTTTGTCCACAAGGTTTACAAAAATGTCCACAGAAACACTGTGAATGTTCCTTTCATCCAAAGCACATGGATAAAGCAGATGTTGTCATCATCGACGCAGTTGATCTCCAGTACAGGACGCCTCCAGCTAAACAAACCAACCAAGTATGGACCTTATTCGGATTAGAGTGTCCAAACTATTACCCAAGTCAGTTATACCAATCAGAGCAATGGCGCCATGTGTTTAACTGGACCATGACGTATCGTCTTGATTCGGATGTCATCTTGCCTTACAATATCCTTTTAGATCAGCAGCAACCAACACCAAGAGCTAACTTTACTGAAATTGCTCAGAATAAAACGAAGTCAGTCCTTTGGTTTGTTAGTAACTGCAACACACCCTCCAAACGGCAACAATATGTGAAAGAACTAGGGAAGCATATAACAGTGGACATCTATGGCAGATGTGGTCCATTGAAATGTAGCGGACAGAATTGCGATGTTCTGTACAACAAATATAGGTTTTATTTATCCTTTGAAAATTCATTTTGCATTGACTACGTCACAGAGAAGTTGTATAAAACCTATTCTCACAACATTGTTCCTGTCGTTCGGGGAGGTGCTGATTATGATGTCATGATACCAAAAGGAACGTACATTAATGCAGCGGACTTTTCAAGTCCAAAAGAACTGGCAAAATATCTTATATATCTGGAGAAAAACGTCACAGCCTATGCTGGGATACTGGAAAACAAATCCAGATATAGAAATGATAACAGGGAAACGTATGAATCTGCATTTTGTGACATTTGTGTGAAACTTCATAATTTGAATTCATATCATCAACAGTATAATGATAGTGGTAAATGGTTGAAACAAGACACCTGTCACCTACCTACGGATGTTTGACCAAACACATTTCATTATGGCGGTGATTTATTGACAAGTTTTTAGCGGGTTGCAATTTGAGTGGTTACTGAAATGAACATATCGTACAGAAAAAACAGTTGTTCAGTTATCTTAATAAAAATATAATAAAAGGGAGCCCAATGACTCTCTTCATTTCCTGATACTGCAGTAATCTAGACTTGCCAAACATTATAGACTTGCATGGACTTTATTTGATATATATTTGTATCAGGGTCTGTAAGACAGACTCTGTTCCTTACTACATACTCAAGTAGTCCATTTGGATGATGAAGCATTACAAACTAGATTTTGTGAAGTTGAGGCTATATTGAATGGCAGACCGATTACAGAGTTAACGTCTGATCCAAATGACCTGACACCTCTTACACCAAGTCATCTATTATTTCATACAGCTGGAGAAGTCTTACCCCAGGGCACGTTTCACAAGGATCACAATATTGCGAGACGAAAGTGGCGTCGAGTACAGTATCTTGCCGATATCTTCTGGGGAGTACTTACCGTTGCTACAAGAAAGGCGAAAGTGGTTACCACCAAAGAAAAATGTATATGTTGGGGACATTTTCCTTCTGATGGATTCCTCACCAAGCAACATGTGGGCTATGGGCAAAGTAGGAGACATTTCCAGATAACAATGACTTTGTTCGCAGTGTTAAAGAGAGAACCAAGTCGTCCGAACGTGTTTGTCTCATTGATAAGCTGTGCTTACAGTTGGAAGAAGACTGAATTGTAGGCATAGGTCATTGTGATGACTTTTCAACTTATATCAAAGTAGACATTTGCTTAGAATCGACTTTCCTAGTGCAATTGCTGTCTGTTGTTGCAATTCTGTGACTATCAGTGAACATTTGGTTACCAAGGTAACAAAGTGTCTTCGAGGGAGACACATTATTGATTGAGTGGACATTTTCATATGAATGTATTTCTCCATGAATCAGTATTTGGCCTGTTGTGTTCATATTCGTAATTGACATCATTCACTCATCCCAATTAGGAGGCCAGAGTGTTACGGCCAAAATGATTAATTTATTATTTGGTATTTATATGTTTCTCGTAAGATTGTCCGAGAATTGCTATAGTTAACCCCAGCGCATATAGCCGTGATTTATTGTCAAGCTTTTAGCGGGTTGCAATTTTAGTTGTTACAAAGGGGAAAAACTGCGTGGATGTGGTATGTTTTATTTTGGAAGTATGTCGCCTGTCTGCCATCATGGCTATGTTGGTTGCATTTATTTGGAAGAACAGATGGCAGTCTTTGCTTGGAAGCATTTTGTGTTTATTATAATTAATTTATCAGCAGCACTTTCTATAGTATTCAGTCACGTTATGTAGTCTGTATTTTCACATGGCTTTCGAAGCTGTTTGCTGCATTCAAAACTCGCTCCCTTTGCACGAGGTGTAAAAATAGATTTCGCAACAGGCTGTTTTGCGAGGGATTTTCAAACTTATTATTTAACAATAAAAGCTTATTTATAGAAATCCTGGTTATACGAGCTGACTGACATGTTTCAGTTCTGTACTATTCCAAAAATATAGACTTTGTAAACAATATGTCTTTATTGGTGAAGTTTAATACATATTATTGTAATAGTATCACAATGTAAAATAGAATTATGCCATGCTATATTTTCCATATTATCTTATTTATTGAAGTCAATCTGACACAAGTGTGACTTCAACATGTTCAGCAACTGTAAACTCTATGAAATATTAACTAAACTTTAATATCATGTACATGCAACTGATAAATGAGCATGTTGAGAAGAAATATAAACTTCTACAGTCGTGCTTGTTTTCTGAATTGACTATCCCATCTCCTATAAAAAAGAATAGTTATAAAGTTGGAAGAATACAAATATATCTGCGATGACTTGATGCTGGACTTTAAGATAGAATTAGAGTGCATATATTTCATTATACTTTTTTATATTTTTCACAAATTAAACTTAAACTAGGAAATCCTAAAATTCGAAAGTCGCTAGTCCAGTATTTCTCGTTTTTCGGCCATGACGGCTGCTCCTTGGCTGGCTCATTCACACGAACAGTAAACTACGTAATCATAGATAAAGTCGGCAGGTACGTCCGCCATGGCCCTTGTTCTCTTGATAAATGTTTTGTTACCAACTGGCGCAGGGTTTGACCATCATCTAAAACTGTAATTAAAATAAACTCTTGTTAGGCAATACTGATACTTTTCTATTACCACCTGCTTTTTGTGTAGTCAACTTTGACAGCCTAGGGAAGATAACAGAGACCGAAATTACACCTTCAAAGTAATTGTGAATGTGATACGAGTAGAGCTGTGGGGGGTATATAACTCCTTGGGTGTTGGTCCTCAGCACACTTGCTTGAATAAACCCTAAGGACCTCACAGCTCTCTTCTCTCTTGTTTCAAGGTAAGAAACATTTAAATATTCCTATTTTATGACTAAACTTCTTATTTCATTGTTATTATTGTCTAGAAAATGTTATAGTTAAGTTGAATCAGTACTGCCATATTGTAACGCTCAATCTACTGTGTACAAGTTCTAAATGACTGCTCATTATATATTATTTACCGTTTAATACTCAGGCACTTTCCAGTGTTGTTTGAAGTGTAATGCGTCCTGGGCTCCTCCAGTTTATGTGTCATTAATATGCGGCACCCATAGTTCTGTCCTATATTTCGACATCAATGATTATATTCCCCTTCCATGTCTAACATCATCTGTTGAAAATGCCAGATGCATATACAGTTTATATTTCCGTGCAGTAGCGTAGCGTACATGTAGCTTAGTCACAAAACGGTTCCTAGAGTTAACACAACTGTTTCAAGCAAGACTTATTTTATACGTAGGTCGGTTATTCCATATTTTCCAACAGTCCACCGATCAAAGGTTATATGAGCAGCTTTACCTTCCGTGTGCGCTTACAGAATAGGCTATAACAACGCATTCCATATTTCTTAGGTTTTATCTTCATCAAGTAAGTATTTGAATATATTGTAAAGAGTCCCGTCCCTCATATAGTTGCATACGCTGCAACACAGCCTATACCACAATTTCATTACCGTAGTCATTTAAATATTGTTATAGTCCTCCTTTATACTCCATAACAACGTACATTCAAACGCGCATCGTTTAAGTATACAATTACCGTATTCACTCCATTAGCTGTTATCGTCTAGCTCCGTATATATTTAGGAAATGCGCGTAGTCAATAGCAACACAGCCGCGGTGATTCATTACCGTAGTCACCAAAGTAATCACCACTAAAACTAATAATTACTCTAACTAAAACCGAGCTATATCTTCTACCGCGTACATTCGTATCTTTATTTGGATCAAGTATTTACTTTCTGTATTTGCCGAAATTATTATGTTGTGATAATTATTACTGAAACTACAAATATTAATTTTTACCGTCTTTTCATAAGTAAATGTCATGTTCCTCATCTAAGCAGTTGGTGCAGTCTACCGTACATGCTCTATTAAAATATTACGACTACTCAATTTAGCTGTTAAGGAATGTTATTTAGCATTACCGTTATTATTCTAGTAAATACTGCATCTGTTGTATAATGTTACCGTACATACTCCAATTTAAATACATTGCCTTTATTATTATGCCTTTATTAGATGGACAATGTGTTAGCATATTATTATCATTATTATGATTGTACGTCACTATTATATATTAATTGATGTAACTTGAATGATATGACACACTTGCTTGAATAAACCCTAAGGACCTCGCAGCTCTCTTCTCTCTTGTTTCAAGGCTAGCTCCCAATAGCTAATTCCCCAAACCGAGGCCTGACAGTTGTTGGAATCCCCTCAAGGCTGTCTTAGCACTACAGGCATCATTGTGATTCACGCAGCTGAGAAAATAAATTGCCCAGTCCATTGATAGATATGTTTTATCATGATCTCATAATAATAGTACAAAAATAATTGTGACCAACCCCCTACCCCCATTCCCACCCCACGGAGGTCTTACAGTGTGTTTTATTGTCAACACACCTTCAGTGGGTCCCCACAAGAGGCCAAACAGTGTTTATAATTGTCAACATATCTCCAAAAGGGCCATGCAGTGTTAATAATTGAGAACAAATCGCCAGTGCGTTCCAACAAGAGATCTTGCAGTTTTATAATTGTCGACGTATCTCCAGTTGAGGAGTTATATGGCTGTCCAGTTGAGGAGACACATGGCTTACGAGTCGACACGGACAGCTGGAGGAAACGCATGGCTTACCAGTAGACAATAGACAGCTGGAGGAAACGCATGGCTTACCAGTCGACAATCGACAGCATGAGGAGACACATAGCTCTACCAGTCGACAATAGACAGCATGAGGAGACACGTGGCTGTTCCTTTCGACAATAGCCAGCATGGGGAGACACGTGGCTTACCACACGGCAATAGACAGGATGAGGAGACACATGGCTCACCAATCGACAATAGACAGCATGAGGAGACATGGCTGTACCAGTCGACAATAGACAGTTTGAGGAAACGCGTGGCTGTACAAGTCGATAATAGACAGCATTAGGAGACACATGGCTTACCATTCGACAATACACAGCATGAGGAGACACATGGCTTACCAGTCGACAATAGACAGCATGAGAAGACACATGGCTGTACCAGTTGACAAAAGACTGCATGAGACACATGGCTTACCATTCGACAATAGACAGCATGAGGAGACACGTGGCTTGCTAGTCAACAATAGGCATGAGTATACACATGGCTTACCAGTCAACAATAGACAGCATGAGGAGACACATGGCTGTACCAGTCGACAATAGACAGCATGAGGAGACACATGGCTGTACCAGTCGACAATAGACTGCATGAGACACATGGCTTACCAGTTGACAAATGACAGCAGGAGGAGACACATGGCTTACCAGTTGACAATAGACGGCTGGAGGAGACACATGGCTCTACCAGTCGACAATAGACAGCATGAGGAGACGCATGGCTTACCAGTCGACAATAGACAGCATGAGGAGACACATGGCTTACCAGTTGACAAATGACAGCAGTAGGAGACACATGGCTTACCAGTTGACAATAGACAGCATGAGAAACATGACTGTACCAGTCGACAAAACACAGCACGAGGAGACAAATGGCTTAGTAGTCAACAATAGACAGCATGAGGAGACACATGGTTGTACCAGTCGACAATACACAGAATGAGGAGACACATGACTGTCCTAGTCGACAATAGACAGCATGAGGAGACGTATGTCTGTACCATCCAACAATAGACAACATGAGACACATGACTGTACCAGTCGACAAAACACAGCATGAGGAGACAAATGGCTTAGTAGTCAACAATAGACAGCATGAGGAGACACATGATTGTACCAGGCGACAATAAACAGCATGAGGAGACACATGACTGTACCAGTCGACAATAGACAGCATGAGGAGACGTATGTCTGTACCATCCGACAATAGACAGCATGAGACACATGACTGTACCAGTCGACAAAACACAGCATGAGGAGACACATGGCTTACCAGTTGACAATAGACAGCATGAGGAGACACATGACTGTACCAGTCGAAAATAGACAGCATGAGGAAACACGTGGCTGTTCCTGTCGACAATAGACAGCATGAGGAGACACATTGCTCTACCAGTCGACAATAGACAGCATGACGAGACACATGACTGTACCAGTCGGCAATAGACAGCATGAGACACATGGCTTACCATTCGACAAAAGACAGCATGAGGATACACATGGCTTACCATTCGACAATAGACAGCACGAGGAGACACATGGCTTACCATTCGACAATAGACAGCATGAGGAGACACATGGCTTACCATTCGACAATAGACAGCATGACGAGACACATGACTGTACCAGTCGACAATAGACAGCATGAGACACATGGCTTACCATTCGACAATAGACAGCATGAGGAGACACGTGGCTTGCTAGTCAACAATAGGCATGAGTATACACCATGGCTTACCAGTCAACAATAGACAGCATGGGGAGACACGTGACTGTACCAGTCAACAATAGACAGCATGAGGAGACACATGGCTGTACCAGTCGACAATAGACAGCATGAGGAGACACATTGCTCTACCAGTCGACAATAGACAGCATGACGAGACACATGACTGTACCAGTCGACAATAGACAGCATGAGGAGACACATGGCTCTACCAGTCGACAATAGACGGCATGAGGAGAGATGAATGTACCAGTCGACAATAGACAGCATAAGGAAACGCGTGGCTGTACCAGTCGACATTAGACAGGAGATGCAGTACATTATATTTAAATTCTCTGAAGAAGTCGGCCCGGGAGAACTGTAGATGGCTGAGAGGTTAAAGGGTGGGTCACGCTACCTTTAGTCTGTGTCTGGGAATTAAAAAATAAATTCAACTCAAATCTAGAATGTCTCATCTCCTGAAATTAAACATTATTCTCTACTTTGGCTCTATTTGGATTATATATCCAATATATATATTCAAATGAGATAACTTTATTTCCTGGGGCTAAATGTTGAAGTGCCTGGGATGAAGGGGTCGAGTGACGGAGACTTGCAGTCAGTCAATGTATTGTAACCCATATGCACCTTGGCCCACGCTGACTGAGACTCGACGTACTCCATTGTCCAGAACGCGTGACCTCAGGCATTGCCTTCCAAACCACAGAAATAAGCCATGCGCGGATCATTTCACAATTACTTGTATCGCGTGTACTGAAAACTGCCAGGGGCAACGACTAACAAACGGTGAGTGATATCTGTGCTAATGTTGCGGGGTTTCAACGATATTTAATTTGAGCTACCTGATAAGTGACCTTGGCTTGCCAAGTTTTTATACATGTTCATCTCATGTTTTCATATTTGAAGGATAAGGACTGTTCATTGGTGAGATAAAGCACGACTCCGGGGTTATGGTCGAGAAAGTAAGACCGAGGCAAGAGCGAATTTAAGCTCCGAGGTCTCACGTTGGCGATACCCGATTGTCGAGGTCTCACTTCCTCGACCCCAACCGAGGAGGACTGCTTTATCTCACTAATGAACTGTCTAAAGCAAGAAATACCACGGAAAAAATAAGAAAACATCGATCTACCTTATAGTGAAGTAATACAGTGTGTCGCGGTATATAAGGAATTCGAATAAAGCGTGCGAGGGCAAAAAACAAGTTCAGCCTTGGCCAACTTGATTCCTGACGCGGAAATTTGACCGACTTTTTATCGCCTGCCCCTGTGGTTCAGTAGGAAAACAGTGGATCACAAAACTAAACACAATATGTGAGGCTGGAGATTCGATTCCCATCATTCATAATGAAAACTTCATTTCATTTCTTCAATGATAGAACACTGGAGGTTTAAAACAAATTTTATCTACGACTCAACTCATCAGGTGTCAGTATGAAAAAGTAAAACCTCGTACCAGGTTTTACTAGGAAAAGGTTAAGCCTCATATCCAGGACGAGGTCCTACTACTTGTGCGGTGTATGGGTGTGACATATGTGCGTGTCTGTCTCCAGTTTTTGTACTTGTGTGCTGAACATGTACTTTGTTTTGTTTTCTCTTTTAGCTTTATAAACATGTTACTAACAATAGTACATAATATGCACTGGATGTACGCACACGCCACGCCACGCCACGCCACGCCACGCCACGCCACACCAACGCCATTATAGCTAAATGAACATGTTATTAACATTAGCACATATAAACTGCATGCATAGATACACACACATAAATACGCACTAGTAGACCCGTAAAGATCCGGGAAGAATAGGTCATCAGCAATCCATGCCTGCCGAAAAAAAGCGGCTTTGGATCGGGTGGTCAGTCTCGCTGATTTGGTTGATGCATGTCATCGTATCCCAATTGCGTAGATCGATGATCATGTTGTCAATCTCTGGATTGTCTTGTCCAGACTCGATTATTTACAGACCGCCGTCATATAGCTGGAATATTGCTGAGTGCGGCGTTAAACAATAGACAATCAGACACACTAGTACATCATATAGCACAGTAAACAATCATAGTGTGGGAAGAAAAGGTGTTATCATTATAAACAAGGTAACATATTATTGTAAACAGGTGCATTGTTTTAAAGTACAAGACACATTCTCTCTCTTTAATTAAGGTGTACGAAAATGTTATTTTTGAGGTGAACGGCTTGACAATGCAGAGTGATCCCCGTCGCCATGGACACAGCAATAACCACAAACACGTCTCAATTGTGTGTTGGCGGTATTGTATAGTCAGTTCACTTGTCTGGTCACTCGACCTGAACTTGGTGACGTGTATCCGATGACACAGGCAGAGATAAGAGCTCAGTATACCGGGCTGTTAGGTTTGGGATATCGGTCCTTCTTCAAACACAGGAGTCCATCAGTCGGTTCACAACACTTTACATAAAAGTGAGGCAACCCCCCAACCCCCCCCCCCCCCCCCACCCCCCCCCCCCCACCCCCCCCCCCCCCCCCCCCCAGCCCACACCCCGTATATACTGCTCGTAGCTTGTATTGCACATGCACAGATATAAATCGATAAATTCAATACAGCCTTTGAACCCGATTGTGTGACCCGATTGATTGAGTGCCGTCGTTTCCCAACAGCTTGCTGCCAGGCACTGTTATCATGGACACATTGGATTTAAAACATTGCAGTCGTGATATAGCTAGGATAATTCATAGTGGCTTTAGAAACTCACCCACGCCTACACGCTAGGTGTA